TGTACATAGGTTTATCTGTCATGCTCGAGTTACAACAGTGAAAAGTCAGGTTTTTAGAACTAATAGTAGAAAAAAAATGTGAAATACTTGTGAAGTACCGGTACTGTAGTTGTAGTTGGGCAAATTGCCCGAGGGCGTCATTAAGCCATTTTTTTCAAACCAGCTTTACAAGTAATAATTCTTAACATTTGTCCTCCATTTCATCTTGTAAAAAATATTATTTTTATTGTATTAACTATGCAATCATTACAATCACGATACTCGTAATTTAAAAATTGAAACTTATTCATTTGTCACAAGGCCATTGCTTTCAAAGCAATGTCTCTTTGGAAAGCTACTAACTTATTGTTATTATTATTATTATTAAATGGTTTATTTCACTGAATTGTGGGCAGGTTTACATTGGAAACGTTTAAAAAATAAACAGAAGTAAAAACTGTATGCATTACAATAAAAAAAATTACAAGACCGGTAAAAAATTATAATGAGAGTTAAAAAATAATATATGTAACAACAAGAATGGAGGTACACAATGAAATAAATTGTTGTGCGAATATTTATCAATTTTGAAAGTTTTCTCAGGATGCCATACATACCAACGAGCACAGTCCCACAGTTTAAGAGAAGAAAACAAAAAAAACCGGTGCACGGTCGTACCGGTATATAGTGAAGGTCTACACGATCATCTGAGTGAAGGGACAGGTTGCTGGGCAAAGGTCAGAGACGTAAATATACAATACCTACTCCAAACCTCTCCTGAATAAACATGACAAATTTTATCTCCGTGTTGGAATACATAATTTTATTCCTCATTCTACATCTTGTATGAATTATAATTTAATTACAAAGTTCCTAGTCTTTTCTTTAAAGATATAGTCCATCATTTGTAATTTGTGCATTTTGTTCGTTTGAAGCAACAAAAGTGTTCAAAATCTAATGAAGGGTACCAGCAACTAACCTGATGAAGTTTCAGCTCAGCTTCAGCTGTATATTCCGAGAAAAACAGCATTCTAGGATCTCAATTTTAAATCCAAAGTTGCTGAATCATATTTTGAATTGTTTTGAATTGCAGCTATACGCGATGTCGCGCACTGATCCGACGAATTATAGCAACCGCACGCGCCTGTGCGTCGTGCCAATGCTTGCGCGCGCTGCGCCGAATAACAAAACGAACTACTAATTTAAATTTTCCTACGGTACATCTTAAGACGCACCGTTGGAAAGGCCTTCTTTCGTTGATTACTTCAAAATGACAGCTTGCCAGAAAGAATAATTTCACAGGGAGTTTAGTCCCCTTACTATCTTTCAACCAAGTATGTTTTTCAACAATAATACGCCACTTTTTTGTGGCAGCCAGCAGCTTTTGCTTTTAAAATTGGCAATATACATCGAGTATCTGTAGCCATATGGAAAAAAATGCCAATTTTTGATACAGAGCCTAGTTAATGCTGTACAACTGGCAGGCAAAAAACTGTCATTTTAACAAGTAGTACCAGTGTAGTAGTCGGGTACTTTTTTCCGAGTACCGAGTACTGCCAAGTACTTAGGTTGCCGAGTACGAGTACGAGTACAAGTACTTGTACCTCTGAGTACAAGAACAGCCTCTGAGTATGAGTACTTGTACTTCCGAGTACGAGTACGAGTACTGTACTTCCGAGTGCGGGTACGAGTACTGTCTTGTATTTCCGAATACGACCATACGGAGAATGGTTCATTGTGCGTAATTGGCCCAGGCCCAGTCAGACGGATCTATATACAGACCCACTAGCTAGCTGTTAAATGAGCTTGTCCGGACGTGCACAGAGGAAAATCAGGAAACTTCGATTTCTCCACAAGCCTATCAACCATTTCAAACTGAAAGTATAGATAAAATAAGGCCGTGGTATATAAAGTCAAGCTACACCATTTTCCCCCCGAGTACTGCTATTCGAGTACGAGTACTTTGATGATCGAGTACAATTTCAACATGTCGAGTACGATTACTTTGCTGCCCGAGTACGAGTACCGTCATTTCGAGTACGAGTACTTTGACATCTGAGTACGAGTACGAGTACTCCAAAAAGGTACTTGAGTAGTACTCGAGTACGAGTACCGAGTACTACAACACTGATGAATACTGTCACTTTAACACAGTTCACAGTTGAAGTTTACTAAGTATGCCTTGTGTGAAAGAGCAGCCATGTTTATTCACTGGAATTTGTTTAAATAGTTTGTAGTGCTTGAAGATATTTACTGTCTGGCCCATGTCTGGCATGATCTGTCAATAGCAAACTGGGCTCATATTAAAAAAAATGTGGGGTTTTTTGGCACCAAATAATCCATGTCACAAGTTTCTGAGGTTAAAAAATTAAAAATTAAAAATGTCTTGTGTGAAAGAATGGCATTTTTCATACTTGTATTATTTTTTTTTAAATTTATTTGAAAAAATATGTAGTGCATGAAGATTTGACAATATTGTTTAATAATGTCTGGCCCAACATTGTCAAACTTGGCTGCGAGCTGGAGAATAGGAATCACAATTAAGTTATAGGACAAGTTTAAGAAGTATGAAAAAACAGCACTGGTCATTATAATTGGTATTTTTTTTGGGGGGGGGGGAATGTACTGCCTGCAGATATTTTATGATTGTCTGGCACCTGTGTGGCCTAATTTATCACTGTCAAACCCGGCATAAGTACAGGGTGAGTAAAAAAAATGAAACCCAAATGTCGGGACCATGATTTAAGTGAAGTTCTAAATGTAGCACTTTCAAAATCTAGGATATGAAAGCTCAATTCATAAGCTTTCTTTTAGTACAAGAATCATTCAAATCACTCATGTACTTTTCAAGCTACAGACTTTTAAACACAAGTACCGTTTTAAAGTTCAGTTCTGTCCACGGATCACAAAAGGGTAAGTTTTCGTTTTGCGGAAAGAAAGCACACCTTTTGTGTGATCCGTGGACAGAACTTTAAAACAGTGGTTGTGTTTAAAATTTCATAACTTGAAAAGTACACAAGTGATTTAAATGATTCTTGTACTAAACAAAAGCTTATGAATTGGGCTTTCATCTCCTAAATTTTGAAAGTGCTACATGCAGAACTTCACTAAAACAATAGTCCCGACATTTGGGTTTTGTGTTTTTTGACTCACCCTGTATTACAAGTTTATACGAATTGAACCCTAGACTCCATGTACCACATTTAAACCGCCATGCCTGTTACTCCTGTTATCGCCCGAGCACTGATTTATGGTTATATGGAATTGTCAGACAATAAAACTACTGTAATACAATGTAGGACAGGTACCATTGGCGTCGCGAGGGGGGGGCAAGGGGGGCACTTGCCCCCCCCTGGAAAAGCAAAAAAAAAAAAAAAAAAAAAAAGGAAGAAAAAGAAAAGAAAAAAAAAGAAAAGAAAAAGAGGCGCGAAGACAAAGCGGTGTAAATTTAATGAGTTGGGGGGGGGGCAAAATGTCCCTGCCCCCCTCTAAAACTGATAAATCGAGAATGTGTTGAGAAATACAAGCATTTTTTGGCCCAAAAAAATTTTGCCCCCCTCTAGAAAAAATCCTGGCGACGCCCATGACAGGTACTCACGGTTTAAAGTCCTGCCAATTATTATAAACCTAGTACAAGCTGCGCTCGCTGGGGGACATTACGCATTTAGTTGTTTTTATTAGTTTTTAGAGATTAAATGTACAATTATCCCACAACCTGTATTAATTTAAAAGTTCCTTGCTTTTTTGAGTGACGAATTTTCATGGGCATGGTCAGTAGCGTATCCAGCTTTTGATGTCGGAGGGGTGGGTGGGGGTGAAGGGAGCTGGTACCTATTTTTCAAATGGGGGCGCTCTTCAAAACTGATAGTTATTATGCATACTGCAAATTATATGCCCATTTTCACGGCGTATTGTAAAGGAATTGTGAACAGGTTTTCTTTTTGGGATTGATGTCAGAACTCTCTAACCATTTATTGAAATAATTGCTGGAAAAAAAAACATTTGTCACAAAAAATACCCAGGGGGTCAAGGTGAACCCCCCCCCCCCCTCTCTGGATACGCCACTGGACATGGTCCTCTACTTAGTTAAACTGTTAGGGTTAATTAGTTTTCTGCCGAGTGTGATTATGCGAAACAAACAACCTATCCAACTAATACACCGTAGTTTGAAGCCATTCACAATGACACTTGAATGGCAAAGTACAAAGTTCGGAGGTGACTATAGGGACTGGAAAATTGTCACACTTTGGACCCTGAATTTATATAATGAGCCACAAGGGCCTGTAACTGATGAGTTGCCATGGCAACGTCGGACTCATTTTGTATGTTAGGTCACAGAATATAAGAGAAAGTGTTCGTACAAAAGAACAGCTCCATGATCCACATGTACCAGACACTTATGAATTTTAAAATTAAACATATTTCTGTGGAAATATTCATTCATGTGAGCTGAAATAAACACAACATGTAACTGAAAGGACAGGTCAGGAAACTGGTGGCAAGTTTGATTGATATGATTAATGCAGCTTTAATTAATGATTGTTCACAGATTACAATGATGAAGACAATAATATGTGTGTGCGCCGCACAGCCGTGGAATGTTGGGTGTGACTGATGAAGGGCTGGTGGGTAGTATAACTGTAAGAGCCCGTCTTGAAGCCATGTTTAAGACGTGTAATTGGATTTGGCCATGTAATGGAAGCCGTGTTTCTTTAATATCTATGTACTACCAGTTTACCCTGGGATTTTTAGTTTGATTTAACGCTTTAGTGTATAACAGTACTGACATTGTATTTCTAAACACCCCATCATTTTTTCATGAAAAGATTTCATACTCCACAAGTTCCCTATTGAGACATACCGGTAGCTAAAAAGCATCGTCAATGCCCCTTTAACCCTGCTTGAACTTTTGACCAAAATTACTGAGGCAAAGATCAGACCCAGGCCAACTCCCATAGGATTTGTATTGTCCAGCTCCAAACACAAGGCTAGTGAAGTATAGCTGCTTGCTTAATTTGAGCGAAGAGGAGCTCTATCCATCTATTTAGACACTTTGAGTAGAGATTAACCCTGGTTGAACTTTTGACCCAGAATTTCTGAGGCAAAGATCAGACCCAGGCCAACTCCCATAGGATTTGTATTGTCCAGCTCCAAATACAAGGCTTGTAAAGTATAGCTGCTTGCTTTTAAATTGAGCGAAGAAGTTCAGTACTGTGGTGGATTACAACTAAAATAAAACGATGGAACCTCGCAGGGTAAAGAAATATTTTTTTTATGAACATGTGAACGAGAATCACAAAGGAATTTTCTAGAATCAGTCACGAGAGGGCGTAATACAAGTTTCCAGCTCAGACACTTTCGTAGAATAACAGCTATATTTTTTTTTCAGTTTTTAATGAGTTTTCAAAAAACAACTTTTGTTTTTAGCAATTTACAATTTCCACACCATTTCCTGAGAAACGAGAATGCTGTTGCAATGTCACTTTTCAGCACACACTCTTTAAGTTTATGGATTTTCTATACAAATTATGAATACAACCTTTTGCTCATTGAAAATGTTTTCTCCATTAAATTTGTACAATAAAAATACCAAACAAAACATATCCAAAAACTTTCAAATTGGTTGTCTTTTGCTACAAGATTTGCACTTTCCAAATTCATTGGCAAATTTTAGTCAGTAACTACTGCAGCTGCTAAAAATAATTCAAAAGTGCATGTGTACTGTTGAGGCAAATATGCAAACATAGTACTCAAAGGGTTATAAAAATAACTCAAGTATTCACCGAACCAATTAATATTTTAAAAGTTTTAACACGCTACTAAATCTGTTCATACTGCTGAAACCACGTTCATATTAAATTGCACAATTTATCACATTTGATCACTTTAGGGCTGTACTTGATTACGATAGAGGTTATAAAACTATTATCAATAATTACATAAAAAAATGTGTTGACAACATCCACTAGAAAATTGAATGTGATATAAAGACAATGTAATAATATAGCAAGGCATTTCAAAAATTTTCAAATGCCCCCCCCCCCAAAAAAAATAATTGCATAAAAGTACATTACAGTTAAAAATGGAAACTGCCAGTATGGTTGCATCTTAGGGGAATTGGCTGATTTAAAATGAATATCTTAAACTTTGGGCCAAATTTGCCTGATTCAGCGACCCAGCAAGATTAGCTGTCCAAATACACCATCACCACGGACTGTGTGTCAAAAGGAGCGGTAGATCTATATGAAATAAATTGTTCACAAGAAAACGTGTTTGTTGTTAACTTTATATAAGCTACCCTGAGCCAACGTGTGTTAAAATACCTATGCATAGTAAAAGTGGTTGGGCTCTACCTCCCTCAATCACGCGAGTATCCTGCTGGACCTCCCGCTGGATTTTAAAGGGCCGGGAAGGGTTTAAAGCAGGGAGAATGTGTGATTCTGCTGTTCCCAATCCGGGTGGGCTGGATCGATTGGTTCTTTCAGTGTCCTCTCAGTGAATGAGACATTTCCTGTCGCATCAATAAGGATAACAGTTGTGGTCCTGAGAAAAAAATGTAAAAAAAGAAAGAAAGAAAGAATAAAAAACTCTGAACAATTTGTCACACCCCACCAGTCGCCCCCCCCCCCCCCCCCCCCCCACTGAAAATTTGTTAATCCTATCAGCAACCGTAGTTAACATGTGTAACAGAAATTGGGTACACCCCACTGTAATCCAGCCCCCTTCCCTCTCAAACAAACTTCAAATGCAATGCATAAATAATGTCTGTTTTAAAGCTATAGTCCATCATTTGCAGCCATCCGAAAAAGTCACTGGCGTATTATTGTTGAAAAACATACTTGGATGAAACATAGTAAGTGGACTAAACTCCCTGTGAAATTAATCTTTCTGGCAAGCTATCATTTTGAAGTTATCAACGAAAGAAGGCCTTTCCAACGGTGCGTCTTAAGACACACCGTAGGAAAATTTAAATAAGTAGTTTGTTTTGTTATTCGGCGCAGCGTGCGCAAGCATTGGCACAACGCACAGGCGCACGCGGTTGCTATAATTCATCAGATCAGTGCGCGACATCGCATATAGCAGCAATTCAAACAATTCAAAACATGATTCAGCAACTTTTGATATGAAATTGAGATCCTAGAATGCTGTTTTTCTCGGAACATACAGCTGAAGCTGAGCTGAAACTTCATCAGGTTAGTTGTTCAGTATCCTTCATTAGATTTTGAACACTTTTGTTGCTCCAAACGAACAAAATGCACAAATTACAAATGATGGACTATATCTTTAAATAGGGGTACATACCTTGTTCCATATGTGTTTGACTTGATGAACACCAATTCCTTCAGCATTTCTTTGAGCTTAGCGATGTCCATGTCTTCTGTGGAAATGTCTGCACTGGACACAAGCCTGACAAGCCAAAAATATGTATTTGTATTAGGGCTGTGCATCGGAACCGGGAACCCGAGTACCCAACCGTTGATGTCAGGAACCGGTTCCAGATTATGGGATCGGGTACCCATAACCAACTTTACAAATTACTTAGCAACTTCTAAGACAATGAAAAAGGAAGATTTTGAATGCCGTTTGTGGGGAATTTTCTTAATGAAAACCAGGCTGTGTGCATTTTAAGGCACAACAGATGACACTCGTGACAGTTGCAGTTTAAACCGTAACGCTATTAAGCCCTTCAGACAACTTCCAGGATTTGAATTTTGGGGTTGGGTTCCTTTTACGGATACCCGTGTTTTACTTCAATAGGGTACCCGGTTCCTGTATTACCGGTAACTGCACATCACTGATTTGTATTTTAGGAAGCAACCAAAAAACATGGAACATTCCTGGTCCATCTACAATGCTCCTATCCGCTCCGTTCACAAGTACCCCCTAACCAGCAAAGCAAGTACAGTTGGGGGTGACCAACCGACGCCATCTTGCCTGACTGCAATTCATTTGCCGCGAAGCGCGGCCACTGCGCACGTGTACATAGTACAAATCCCCTGGTGTACGTGCGTCAGACACAAGGAACGGTGCGCGTCGACCAGTGAAATGTCCCGCCCACGGGACGTTGTTGCTAGGTAAAAGGGCGCCCTCTTTTGTCGGCGCACGGAGACCATGGGCACATGGTGCATTGAGATCTGGGAGAGGTGGCTGCTGTTATATATAAATATACGTAGTCTCTAGATTTGAAAGCTCAATTACAAATCTATAATACTGCATAAAAATTTCATGCAGGCATGCAACTGGGAAATAACAACAACAACAAAATTCTAAGTTTTATAAGACTTTACACTGTGTTTGTCAATTTTCAACAGGAGGGGGATGCTACTTGTCCAAAGGACGCGGCTACAACATGGTCGAGCCGAAGGCATGTAAAGCTTAAAGGCAGCAGCCATACAACCCATGTCTGACCAGGGATCAAAGCCAGATATCGAAAGTGTTGATTTTTGTGGAGGGAGGAAAACCGGAGAGCCTGGACAAAAAAACCTCGTGGCACAGGAGAGAATCAATGAACAACTCTACTCACATGTGACCCGAGCCGGGAATGGAACCCGGGCCCAGCAGTGAGAGGCATAAGCGTGAAGTAACAAAAAATCAGCTGATCTGACAAAAACTTGCATGCCTACTTTCAACGTCATACTAATTGCATCTGAACTGTTAAGCCTAATTTAGTGGCAGCACATTGTTCGCTACATACACGAATGAATGAAACACAAAAGATGATGTCACAGAACTTTCATCTACATAATTTTAGTACAGAATATGCAAAAATGCACTAAACTAATAATAAATGATGACGTACAGGGTGACCAAAAAAAAAGTTGTGCAAGCAGATATCGTTGAATTTCTCAAAAAGTACCTAACATGAGTATTTCATTTTGATGGAGGACATTAATTATACTCTTGTGTATAATCAGTGAAAATGTCATGGAAACCCATTCATGCAAACCAGAGCTGTGACAGATTATAAAAGGATATGTGTTTTTCAACCATTCCAATGGGAATTACACACTGCATTGGAAATCGCTCAACCGTCACTCTGCAATGGGTCTTTTCATTAACTGTGTAACAGCTGTGTGGTTGCGAATAGTGATTTCAAAGGTTAGAATTTTAGCCTTCAAGAAAGACTCTGCTAGGGTCGAAACGTCAGGCCACTAACTATTTTTTTGCATTTATACCATAGGGTCCTTTTGGTTGGTAAGCAGTTTGCAACAGCTAATTCTATTCTTCTAAAGGTTACGTAACACTTTATTTTGAATGAAACTACCGTAATTTTCGGAATATAAGCCGCGCGGCGTATAAGCCGCAGCACGCAAAAATCTGCAAATTAAGATTTGAAGTCGGCGTATAAGCCGCACCGGCGTATAAGCCGCACCGACCGCTGCGGTTTCAATTTTGTAAGGCCTCCAAATTCTAGTCAAAATGCTCTGAACCAGTTCCATTCACACTACAGAAGCTATTAAAAGGACCACAAAAGTTATATCAAATCATTTACAATTGATACTTTTACAAACAAATATGGGAATTGATGAGAAATAAACACCGGGAACTGCTGCCGGCTGCCCCGTCATAGCCCGGCAGCCTGCGCCACGCACGCCGGTGAATGACAACATTTTCCCACAGCACGTGAGAGAGTATGAAACCCACCGTGTGTTGTCTGACTGGAGCGCTACAAATCTTGCTTTGTGGCAACAGATGCTGATTTGTTTTGTCCTAAGAATAAACAGGTCCGTTTTTACCTCAAAACTTATCAAATTGTTGCGATTACGGTTGCGAGAAAAATTCAAGTTTCGATCGTAACTTTCTTTGGAAATAGTCAAAACGAAGCGGACATTTTAATAGACGATTCCATTAATTTTGTAAGGGGTGATTTAGTCCCTCTTTTGAGTTTTACATCGTTTCTTGAATACATTTCAAGAAAACAAAATATATTGTGACGTTGAACAACTGATTATGTAATAAAAAAATGTTTCAAACGCCATAAAAATTGTAGTGGTCTTTTTTCTTTCTTTTTTTAAACAGCGAAAATATTGGTAATTATTGTTCCCAAGAAAGAACACCCCTTTGTTACCACAAATGGTGTGGTCCGCTGTTGGGAAAGCATGCCTGCATATCGCTGCTGCACTGTACCAGTATCACGTACGGCTGGTGGCAAGTGTCGTAGACAGCTTTCATCACCGTACTTTTTTACCGCTCGGTACCTTTACGTGAGACGTGGTTTCGGTTTGTAAATGACTTTCTTAATTTATAATTCATTTCAGCAACATATCTCTTCTTATGCCAGTACATTAAATACACATGTGAATTTCATTTTTATTCTTCAAGGCTCGGCGTATAAGCCGCCCTGTGTATAAGCCGCAGTAAACATTTTCATGGGCAAAATCAACGTATAAGCCGCGGCTTATATTCCGAAAATTACGGTACATGAACACAGACATGTTCACGTTGGCAGGCGATCCTCATCAAAATTTTCCTTGGAGATACATGTAGTTCAAGGTGTAACACTGGCGTTTGCAACAACAGATTATTAAAGCTGAAGTTCAGAATATACTTAGATCACTTAAGTGTTCAACTACTCCAGAAATAACAACTTGGAGAAATCCCTAGAAATTGATATAAATACATTGATTTCTTCCAGACTTGAAGGTCAGCTTTACCAGTAACCAGTATTGACATTTCGGCATCGATGATGGCGATTTTTTTACTGACATGAAGTTAGAATTTCTTCTTCCGTTATAATTTAACATTTCAATCATACTGAGCATATTTCCTGAGAAACTCAACGTGCAAAAGGCCATGTTTTTTGGGGTGCATGAATTTCACTGCTCTGTTATAGCGTCTAAGTACGTAATCAGATTAGCTTTGCTTAAATCAACGCTTTGCCTTGGCTGGTAAATCACACTGGAATGGATGAAAGAGACTTTGCCATTTATAATCTGTTGAATTTCTGGTTTGCATGAATGGATTTTCATCAAATTATCAGTGATTATACACAAGAGTACAAACAATACACTCCATCAACATGAAATGCTAATGTTGGATACTTATTGAGAAATTTAAAGACGTCAACTTTTTTAGGGTCAACATAGAGAGATATACATTGTATACTTACGGTACATCGCGTGCCATCATTGCCAATAACTCCCCTGTTAGTTCTTCTTTGGTAAGGCTGTGTGCATTTTGGACGATTTTCTCGAGTTCTGTTCGTATGTGATCTGTCCTTGGCCATGACGTGTTGATTGTGTGGTTTGAGAATGTATGTATACCTGGAAAACAAAGGGATGGAGTTTTAAAACCAGTTAATGCTGTGGCCTCGTGGTCTGGAGCATTGAATTCGTGGTCTGCGGGTAAGTTCTGCAGGTTGTGGGTTTCGAGTCCAGCCTGGGGTTGTGGTGCGGATGCCCTTGGGCAAGGCACTTTGTCACTTATTGCTTCTCCCCACCCAGGAGTAAATGGTTACCTGTGAGGGCAGAGATGGTTATTATGGTTGATTTAGCTGTCTTGCCCTGAAATGGCTGCATCGAGTTGTATACTCCCCAGGGAGCTGAGATGGTATTTGGAATGTTTCATTGGCCCAATGATCAGGGGTAATAAAAATGTCAAGCGCTTTGATCTTAGTTAAAAGCACTATATGAGAACCTGTTATTATTATTATTATTATTACATAACCATGCTAAATCCATCAATGTCCAACAGCGGTAATATTTTATCAGATTGGGCGGGAACTAAAATACCACATGGTTTTAGGTGCTGGATTCTGTTGGATTCAGCAGGTTTTGAACTTGACTGTCCATGAATTTTGTCTGATCCCACATACTGCCAGAAAAATACCCGAAGGTGGTTAGGGTTACTTTTCAGGACATTTTTGTTTCTTGATTTTTAAAAAATAATAAATAAAACTTGGATGATATGTTTGATCAAAAATGTTGCAGACAGTTCAGAAAGTTGGCGTTTGACAAATTCTGCAAACTATGGTCAAGTCTGAAATGGGTACTGTTAGTCTACGACCATGGCATTTTACAGTTGCCGCTGTGTTGCTGTGACCACAAGGGAACAGGGGGGGGGGGAGGGGATTTCCAGAGGCAAAATGTAGTACATTGTTGTGTGGAGGATCTCGCCCATATAGAAGATCTCCCATGTACTCTACTAAAACAACTGGAAAAAAAGCTCTTAAGTACTTATTAATATCACTTGGAAGTTGCAACTGGGCCCAATTTCATGGCTCTGCTAACCACTGATTTCTGTGCTCACAATCACGATACAGTGCTAACAGCACTAGCAGAAAATTCTGTGCTAACCCTGTAAGCCACAAGTGCCACATTCTCCTTGCACCAACCCAAGGTGCCTTCCTGTCATGCTTAGCGTTTTTACTACACGTTTGTGAACATTCAGATTAAAACTGGCTAGCACGGTGCCGCGCCTTTCACTTGCTCAAATCAGTGCAGTGCACATTATGTGTACTTTAGTGGCTTGCACGAATACAGTTACTCCACAAAGTCCATATGTTTAAGTCATTTTATTAACAAACATATAAGTCTAAGAATCAGCACCAACCTGAGGTCAGTTTGATAGGGTCTGTCGTCTCCAGGGCATAGTTTGTGTAGTAGTTAGCGTCTACGCTTCCATTATTCCTGAAAACAAAAGTCAAAGTAAACACAATGTAAAGCAGAGAACATCTTCATAACGCAACTCTCTGTCAGTGGCAGGACACTGCGATTGCAAATATATAGCAAAGCCAGAAACTAAACACTGTAGTTCTGTGCTCATTCCATGAGAAATTGGTCGCTCGTACAGCACAAATTATTCCCAAATTAAAAAATAGAAACAGTTTCAAAATGTTCACCCCCTAAAAAAGTACACAATCCTTACAAACTTCATACATGAAGAGCAGTTGGTATTCTGTGGCCACATGTGCAGAGTGCACATAACCAATATTGCACTGAATGTGCCCAAACTTATGAAGTCTTCACATGAGACGAATGCACCTTCGTGTGGACACACAGTTCCAATGGCCCAACGCGCAAGAGCCCTTCAATATTGGCACTCTATGTCAGATTCACAATCGAGAGGTACTTGCACACACAGCCCCTTGTCCATATTACATGTGACATCACTGCCTTTAGGTTAGAAACAGGAACAACATCCATCTGAACATCTGTCTTTTGGGTTTTTTTTCAAACTGTACAGTATAACATAAGCATGTTGAACCCGTGCATATGTGATACGCATACATTGTAGAATAAACCACCATCACGCGACCAAGAAATGCAATTTTGTAAACAAACGTCACCTACACCTTATTTCACAATGCATTGCAAGCGCAAGGACGTCTAAGTCTCTGATTTTTCTTTAGCTTAGCCTGGCTTCCTTACCCAAGTTCCACAGTGATGAGATTGAAGCCGTTGTACGAATCGCATTCCTTTGCTATGCCCTGGAGGTAGGTCTGGCCATCCATGCTACCTTCCAGAAAGTCTGACACAAGGGAGCCTGTGTGAAGAGTGCATAGAACCATTTGAGAAATTTTACTGAAAACTTTCAAATTCCAATATAATGCCAGAATATTTAAAAAAAAAAAAAGTCCCAAGGGTAGATCCTAGGAGAAGTTTGCATTTTAAAGAGAGTTGGTACATTCCCAGATAAAGGAAATGTGCCAAACTCTGCTACATTGTTCCAACCCTACCAGTTTCCTCAAGAATTCTAGGACTCATGATTTGCAGAACTTCCTGACATTTTCAAAAGGAGAAGATCCAAAAACTGTTCACCGCCCCATTTCTTTTAACCACCCAAAACATTTCCAGTTAAAAACACTGGACTAAAGTTGATTAATTTTTTGTTCAACAACGAAGTTTCAATATTTATCTCCCAAACAGTGTATTTGTACCCTACCAATTGAGCTATCCAGCTTTGTGTTAGGCCAAAAAACAAAAAATCTTCGGTTTCTGGTATGGAGCTTGCCCTAAAAGTGGTGCGGCGACACGGCTTTTTTTCCCCATTTTTTTACTTCAAATGTCGGCTGATGACTTCATATGGTGCCCAACTAAATTGAAAATATATGGGAGCCAAGAGAGGCCACATAAAGCTTATACTCGATCATAACCCCATCGAAAAACATGTTAAACTTGTGCAGCAGCAGGATTCCAGTCAAACCAGTGAGTTTGGTGGTTTTGAGACATCATCTTACATTGAAAAAAAAATGTTTTAATTTTGCCGACGCGCATGGCTACGGCGACGCGCGGGCATACCAGAAACCGGAGACTTTTTTTTCTGGCCTTAGGGGATCCCTATTTTGTTTACGATTATTCTAATGAGGGCTTATCAGATGTGAAAAGTGACTCCAAGTTTCTGAGTCTATCTACACGTTTATTTCTTTTGGCTTATTGACACAATACAACAAAACAATTGTAGACTACTGAGGTGATGGACATGGGTTTTTCTACATGAATCCTGGAAAATGCATGACACCCTTGGAAGCCATACATTCCTAGTGCTACAGCGTGGCACACATCAGCAGGGTTCGACTTAAGCGGTAGCCCGCTAGCCAAATGCTAGTAAAAACAGCGACGGGCTAGTCAAACTATTTCCTTAAGTAGCCCGGCTGGCAATTCAAACATTATTGGGCTACGGCAAAGATGAAAAGACAGAAAGAAAGAAATCATTAAATTCAGAAAGCAAACCTGTATCAATTGTGTCAAATTTTATTAAGATCTGTTTATTAAAACACTGACAAGATTGTCTCAGGATACACGTTTTACATGTATGCACATTGTTGTTTATGAGACACTCTATAAAGAAAACATGCAGGTTAGTGAAAATGCTCACGGGCTAGTTAAGAGTCTCTCTCAGTAGCCCGGCTGGCTAGTGAAACAAAGTTAAGGTCGAACCCTGCACACCAGTCAATGTTTCCAGAATTTGCCGTACAAGCCCCACCCTCCACTGGTTTGTGTACATTTCTCACAGTGCCTCTGACAGAGTTTGACTGAGCTTTTGTGGTCACCTGACAAAAACTCATGATCTAATTGGTCAACGCATACTTTTTGATTGATGGGCAGGTGGATCACCTGTTCAACACACTCACCTCTTCCTTTGGCATCAGGGTTAATCCCGTCAGGTTTCAGGATATTCAGAAGCATGGCCAGCCTGCCTGATCGGCTCATACCTAGCCAGGTGCCTCCCTCCTTGCCTACAAACATATCCTGACCTGAAAAACACAAGAACTAATGAATGAACGGAAAAGTGAAGATCTAAAGTTAAAGCCCTGTGGCCAAGGGAGAGTGTGGACTAGTGGTTAGGGTTTGCGACTCATGATCAGAGGGTCAGGGGTTCGAATCCAGCCGCTGGTCATATGTTGTGTCCTTGGGCAAGCCACTTCACCCCCACTTGCCTCTCTCCACCCAGGAGCACCGTGGGGAGTGTAGCCTAGTGGTTAGGGTTCGTGACTCATGATCAGAGGGTCAGGGGTTCGAATCTAGCTGCTGGACTTATGTTGTATCCTTGGGCAAGCCACTTCACCCCCACTTGCCTCTCTCCACCCAGGAGCACTGTGGGGAGTGCGGCCTAGTGGTTAGGGTTCGTGACTCATGATCAGAGAGTCAGGGGTTCAAATCCAGCTGCTGGCCATATGTTGAGTCCTTGGGCAAGCCACTTCTTCCCCACTTGCCTCTCTCCACCCAGGAGTATAAAAATGGGTACCGGCTTTAGCTGGGAAGTAACCTGCGATAGACTAGCATCCTATCCAGGGGGAATAGAAATATAAGGCATGCAACTGGGGATTAAGAAAAACACGAGGAAACTCCAAACCACACAAGACTTTGTGCAGTATTTTTCAGTTCATAATGACATTCATGCGAAGTGAAAAACGAGGAAATCAGCAGATCCAAGGAAAAGTTGCATGCCTGAAATATTCTCAGTAGTTTCAAGCTACTGAAAATAGAAATAAACGCCGACCTGATGGGCCACATTGGCTCGAGGCAGAATTCAATTGTTCTTTTTTTATCATGCAGCCTAGACAATTATTGTGACAGAATGGCACTTTAACAAGTCATTTTGGGATTATAACAGACGAACACCCTGTCACTTTACACACAGCAATGACTCCAAAATTACACCATTCTAATCTCAAATTTGTGCCCGTCACAGAGAGGGCCATTTAGCTGGAATCCTCTTTTACTTGACTGGTCGACTCATTGACTATCACTTGGGAATGGTTACCTATACAAATAATGAATGTTCATGAGTGCATTGGTAAGAATAATTTCATGACGTGACAGATAGATTGTTTCATTCCACGGCAACAATGGCAACGCTGACTTTCCAGTACCCCGATCTAGGTCTAGCAGCAGAGGCCTGGGGCCAATTTCATAGAGCTGCTTAAGCACAAAATTTGCTTCAGCACAAAAAAAAACTTTGCTATATAATCAGGTTACCCACCGAAACTCCATGCGATTGTTAAGCTAAGTAAACAACAGCTAAATACCAGTCACAAGCAATTACATCGAATGGCGTTTTGGACGGTGAACTGATTATAATAAGCAAGGGCTTTTTTGTGCTTAAGCAAATTTTGTGCTTAAGCAGCTTTATGAAATTGGCCAGAGCTCAGGTCACGTGGGTCAGTGAGGGCCCTCTATAGACATTTATCCTGCTGCAACCATTTCAGTCATGTTCCCCGTATCCAATAACAGTGCTGAATGATTTTTATTATGCAAAAAGGAACCAGACTATTTTTACTTCCAGCCTTGCTTTGGTTATGTTGATTTGAATGGGAAAATCAAGATGGCCGCAACATGATAATGGTCTATTATGAATCGTTCAGATTTCTCAATCTTACCACTTATGATGTCGGTGTTCCTGTCCCAGAACTCGGCCGGTTTGGTGGGCCTCTCGTAAAACTCATCTCTGTTGAAGGCGAGTATGAGACGATATCCGCCATCCCCGGGGTCTGGGTTTAACACGAACGCCGTCAGACACATAAGTGCACTGTAGCGTCTCTGAATTCTCAGCAGAGTTCTTGAGGGAATGACGAGTTGGCACACGACATGAAGGTTAAACCAGTTACACTTTATTTAACTCTCTTTCAGCTGTTGTCAGTTCAGTGCTCGTAATCAACAGGACCTGTAAAAGAAGTGTTAAAATTACGACCTCTCGTGCCTTAGTTTTGGCAACGTGACTTGCCTAAGTTTCCTAAATAAACCACAACTCCCCATCAATTATTTAATTTTCAAAAACGTTTCCTAGAACTTCCTGGATTCTCATACAGCCTTGGGGGGGAGCTCACAATTTTGTTTTCCAAATTTCTCTTTTGAGTTTGAGTTTTGTCAAAAATTATTGCCTAAAATGTTTTGCTGCAGGGGGGCGGACTATTTTTACGTTCGTGGCAATAAATTATTGATGTTAAAGTTTAACAAATTTGTCAATTCCAAGCATGCTGGACAGCTTGTGGTAATTTTTATAGATTGTATATGCATTGTTACATAGTTTTGTTTTGCAATTTCAGTAAACGTACTACATACACATGTACCGGTATGTTAACAAGAGAAGACAAAAAATCTAACAAATATTAAGAGAGAAGCCAAATTAAAATTACAAAAATGAAAAAAAAATATAAAAAAACAGAAAATTAAAAAGGAAATCATTGGTTCTTTATTTTGCCAACCCCCCAGTGTCTATCCGGTTCGTTAGTGTGACGTCACCTCCAGCACTTTCTGCATGAGTGGAACCGGAAGTTAACGCAACTCGAGCGTTTGTAGCCAATGTGCGCTAGTCACTAATGGTGGGCGCGCGTGTATGACGTTTTTACTAACGAACTGGATTCACCACAAGACATTAGACCAATGTAAGCATAGCATTAAAATGATTTATTTATTGATATATAACATTAAGTCATAATTTTGTTATAGTCCTATACAGGGTGGCCCCCCCCCCCCCAAAAAAAGAACTGCGTACTTTCGCTACCCTGAAATCCAAACAACCTCTACCAATGCATGGGGAATTCTGATAAAAGAACAATGATAGCAAGATCGCCTGATTCGGTCTAGTATTTTTTGTTCTAGAGCCTATTTTGTGAAACAAAGTCGGGAGTCATTTTTTTTCCCCGCTGAATTACTAAACTGTGCCCGCGAATTTAGACTTAATTGGAATGAGGGATTAATAATACTGTTACGTAATAATCCCCCCCCCCCCCCCCTGAAAGATACAGTGTGCTTCACAAAATAGGCTCTGCAGCAAAAACTACTCAACCGAATCAAGAGATCTCGGTATCATATTTCTTCTTAAAAGATTCTCCAACTATTGGTTCAGGTGGTTTGCGTCTCAAGGTAGTGGAAGTATCGCCGTATCCGGTGCTGGTGACAGCTTAAACCTTCAAGTTCATATTGAACAGATTTTGCCAGCTCTGTAACTTTAAGTCCCCAGTTTTGCATGCAACACAGAATGTATACATTACATTGATCGTGCAGTAAACTACCCACAATAAGTTGCATTTCCTTCATATCAGAAATTAGCTATCCCAGCATGCCAAGTGGAGGATACGAGCCAAATTATTGACTGAAGGGGCATGCAAAGAATTTTCTGAGAGGAACACATTTCTTGCAACTTTCTACTCCTCTTAAATGTATAAAAACTACATATTTGACATCCCTTTTGGTTAATTTGATTGAAAAGTGCACTTCTTTCATTTTGTCTTTGAACAGTTGAAACTTTCCGTGCTTTTCCGGACCACTGAGGGCGCTGTTGCTGTGATGTCATTCCAGGAAGACACTGTTCAGTTTCTTGTTCTAACTGTAAATCCAACATTTGCTTATTTAAAACATTTGTGAGAGAGGGTTGCTTGATTGGCTTACTGCAACGTACTTACACGACAACAGATCACCAAATAGAGAAGAAAATTTACGACAGCAAAATATCAAAACTTCTAGCAACATTTTGTGCTGAAATAGCAGTTTCCACACGGAATGACATCGCAATTTTGGTGTAAAAAAACCCTGAAGCACCAAAATTCCCCCAAATGGCAAAACAAAAATTGAAAATAATGTTATATGGGACAAGGTTCATATTCAAGGATTGCATTTAATAAAATTACATTTGAATGCGCCCTTTAAAGACTACATGTACATGTAAAGCAGTGACAGCCATTTTCTGCAGTGGCACCAGGCTCGAGCAAGTCGCGCTCAGGAAATACGCACGCACTCCGTGCTCCTTCGACCAATAGGGTTGTTAAAATGCGCGCGCACCTCGTCTTCAAGAAAGCATGCGGCAGCGCGCGGACGTGGCGCCACCTCAAAAATGGCTTTTAGAATTGTTCAGCGATTTTAAATATACATGTTGTAGGAAGAAAAGGTGAATGAATATGAACCATACCACAGAGAAATTGATGCAAAATCCCACAGCTGCAGGAATGTTGACGGCAGATGGAATGCTCTGATGAATGGAGTGACGTTTTCTGATGATTATGCGAGGACTGTGGTTTTGTTGATTGGCAGCTGCTGGCAGTGTTGTAGCACGGCCCAACGCTCTGGGAAGTAATAGATGCAAGGGATTGCCCTTGAATTTCAAAGCAAGCTCCGCTGTCACGCCGCGACTTATTATTTGGCAAATTTTTTCCTTTTTTGGTTATGGATGAAAGGCAGCAAAGTTGATAATGTATGCTTCATGGACACATTTTGTTATTCTTAATGAAATTTGGACGGGTGTGCGACCCCAGCAAGGTGTATGGGCTCCATGCACAAACTTGTACAGACCACTGGGAGAAACATTGGAACGCATTGTCGACGATACATGACCCTCACGCGAAGAAGGTATGGCTATGTGCACAATCGGAATAAAATGAGTTGTGCGTGCTTCACGCCATAAGCGCTCATGACATGTTCTGTCCACTGGGCTCTCAAAAAGTGGTAAAAAGCGCCCTCTCTTGTTTGCGCACAGAGTCCATATGTACATGTGTCCATGCAAATCAGGCTACAATGGCTGCGTACATGTAGTGTGTACTAGTTCGAAAATGTGTGACACTTAATACTGTGCACGAGAGTCCCAAAACTTAAGATAATGAAAACATGCAATACAAGAAAATAGACTGCCACAAGGAACAACCAGTCCAACACCCCTTTAGTACTGCATCAATCAACCGTGCCAAAGAAACACCCGGTACCTTGAGTACGTTGGATATGTACCACGTCGAAATCACTTGGCCCTCACTCCCAGCTTCAAATTGTTGAAGAAAAGTCTCACATTAAAAAATTGAATTGAGACCTCAAACTTGGCTGGTGAAATACTGAGGAACCTTGTCTTTGCCTCATGAAAATTTTGGAGACATTTGTTGGCTAAAGGGTGAGTTAAGTTGGCAAGATTTTATTTTGTATGTTTGTTCTGCACACAAGGTCCCAGTCTATGCAAACAGATTCAGCGATTAATTATGCAAAACAGACTGCGTCTTTCTGGTTCTGGTTGAGTCGGTAAAATTCACTCAAGTATATCACACCAACTTTTGACCTTACGACTCATATTGGTCTTGACCTGGAGATTCTGACCATTCAGCGGGCGCCTTGTATCGGGTCTTCCGGGCCCTAACCAGTTGCTGTACGACAAAAATATGGCAGACAGATTGACCACTCAACAGCTTAGTCCACAATTGTGATCGAAACGACGTCACAATTTCTAAAGTCGACTCCGATTGGCTGGTGCGCAGGGCCGCATAAAATTTGTATGCTAGGATATATCAGACGTTGGTTCGTGTGGCTCTGCACACGTGAATGTCCGATCCACAGACTAGCCCACTCCCAGTCTGGGTGTGTGCATTCATCAGTAAAACAGCTTTACATATATGTCCAGGGTTCCCTGAGGATTTGAAACAATAAACCTGAGGACCTTAGCCCAAGTCCTCAGAAGGTTTTCGTGATGGTAATTAGCCAATTAAGTATGTATTACTTGTATAAAGGAATCAATGTGTGCTCCGGAGGTTTTTATCACTCTGTTTAAGACCGCTTAGAGTCTGGGTGCTGATAATTACCCGAGCCGGAGGCGAGGGTAATTATCAGTACCCAGACTCTAAGCAGTCTTAAACAGACAATGACAGAGTGATAAATACCGACCGAGCACACATTTATTCCCATTCATAAATACCTTTTCGGTAAAAAAAATCGTTCAAAAACTCCCGGTTTTGTTCAACAAGTTCACTTCATGCTTTTTGAAACATCCCTCTAGCAAAATAATGGAGTGTTCAGCTGGCGAGTAAGATGTAAACAATCCTTTTATAAATGGAGATTGACGCGCGCGTATTGAATTGCGTTTTGAATTTAGAACTATAAAATTCTGACTCGCTGGTAGTGTTGCGCACGCCTACGTGAGGATTGTGAACGTTCAACCAATGAAATGGTAAGAGGCACTGGATTTTTAGGAGTCCAAATTGCATGCAAAACTGGAAAAGTGTTTCAGACCAGCTAGCCATGTCTTTATCATCCGTTTAAGACCGGCCACGTGACGAGCTCTCGACCAATAGGAATAGCTAAACTGTCTGAGGTATTTATGAATTGTAATTTAATACCTGTATACTATTATTAATGTTATTATTTATTGTTGTAAATGTATACCTTTTGCCAACATGAAATAAATGTTGAAATGTTCAAAGCGAAAATGGCAATTAACTTCATTTAAATGCCAAAATCATTAATACTCAGTGAAACTTGAGATTATTTCCTTACAAGAAAACCTAACATAGGCCTAGTGAATACAAAATGATACTAGATGTTGGCTACGTTCCACAGGAAACCAGAATATTGACTTTAGTTCTACGCGCTTCCTTTCACAGACCAGTTACAAAACAAGCGGGCATTTCCCCGAACTGGATCGTGGGTATAATGTTTGAGTGGGAAAGATTCCCACATCTGGCAATCACTCATTTTTCCCTGCAGTGACCTATCAGCCATCAGAAAGCGATAATACATGTAGGCCTAGGCCTATGTCCTAAAAAGTCAAATTTAGCAGGGAAAATATTGAAGTATTTACTGAGAAAACACTTAGAAATTTTCAGACCAGTCTCGTTGTCTTGCTTTCCGCGACAACGCACCAGACGAAAATTGAACTCACTTGCGGCGCCTGAAAGCAGTGTGGTACCCACATACATCGCGCGCGCAGATTTTTTTGATGTCATCACGTGATGCATACATTTACATAATTAGCAAAACAAAATGGAAGACAGCCGTTGGAATTGGCGTATTTTTACGGACAAGCCACCGAAATCGTCAAGATTTTTCATTTTTTTTGTGGTCTGTTTCAAGTCGATCATTAGGCTTCGTAAATGACTGCTGAATGTATGAGGTATGTAAATGAACTCTGGGTCGGGATATTAGAGGTGAAAATGAACAATTTTTGAGAGGCCATTTTTTTAGGGTCTCTTAGTCTTGCTACCACATTCTAACGAACAGGTTTTGCCTCCAGCGTTACATCATGTGAATGAATATGGAGCATGTCAGCTGGAGTTACTCTAGACCCGTGAACGTGGCTTGTAAGTTGTATACAACGCCACGTTCACGGGTCTAGATTTACTCCAGCTAGATTCAATGAGAACTGACATGACTCGACTGAGAAGTGACAAATGACACGAGTTTCGCAACTATCATGACTATTCCTTCCTCCATGGTAGTACTAAAACAAGTAGGGAAATAAAGAAATTAGTAGAACTATTAATTACCTAAAGTTCTCCTTTATCAAGTCACATTCCTCAGCAAACAAATGTCACTTCATACTTTGTTTCCGGAGTCGGCGATTTCATCCAATTAAATCTGACGAATCTCAACCTTCAAAGTTCGCACTTCTGTTTTTGCTGCAGAAGTGGTACACTGTTCGCATAGTGCCACGCAACAGCGCCCTCTTTTGTCAAATTCGGGCGCTAGCTGTATTAAATAATCACAACAGCTGTACAATGGGCCAAGTAAAAAAAACCGGAAAAAATGTTGCAACGTTTAATTTTCTTCATATATCATCTCAGTGAAGGTCATTTATTGCAAAAATGACGATAAGATATGAATCTGGGACTGAGAAACATATTTTGTTCTTGACTCATAGACTTTGTACACAATCGCGCAAGTCGCGTCAGAATCAGGTTGCAACATTTTTTCAAACACAAGCTGGTCGTCCAGTTTTTTTTTTCAAAAAGAGGAGGATGAGGGCCTTTATATTTTTTTATTTTTATTTTTTATCTGATAGTTCTGGGTTTAAGTTATCTCAGGGGCGGATCCAGGAATTTTTGCACTTGGCTCCGCAAAATCAAGGGGGGGGGGGGGGGGGGGACTCGTACAATACTTTCAATGGGGGCGCTGTTGAAATCCGACGATAGTGTACAAATACCCCCGCAACCAAGCAGGATTTTGGACACGGGCGGATATGCGGATATATTAAATTATTAATACCAGTATAATTGTTTTGGGGCGCCAAAGCGGGGGTATATTTTTTATGAATTTCTATGAAAAAAAAACACCCACATTTTTGACAGAGCTAAAGGGGGGGGGGGTACCCCCCCCCCGGATCCACGCCTGTATCTAACAGTTGATGACCACAAAACATTCTTAAATGCTAATTGAACATGAGTAAAGCTGTGAGAAGCATCCAAACTTCTGAAACATCTTCTTTTTTATGTTATGCCTGAAATTACATACAAATTGATGCAGCCTCAACAAAGGAACTGCGGGCAGGGACGATCAACCGAAACGTATTTTATTCGGCCTTAAAGATGAGTTCCGGTTCTATTTTGAGTTTTACCCGAGTCGAAAGATAAATTTGGTGGGTTTTTTTTCGACTTGCTTTTTTCCTAGCAATATAAAAAGTTATTCACTTTTGAATGAGACATCGGCCTCAATATCACTGTGACGTTATTCTGACGTCATCAAATATGAAATTACAAGCGATATTAGATCGGAAATCAACCCAAATCATAAATGCTGACAAATTCCCTCGGGAAGAGAACGAAATACGTTTTCTCAGACATTTTAATTCCGAAGAACCTAAACATAATTTCCCCATTATTAAGTTTAAAAGATACTTTCTCCCTCGACGATAAAAACCGAAAATTGCACGTTAAAAGAGAGTAATGTGCAACCTCGTCCCCAGTGCTTACTTTATTTCCAACCGCGTTTCCAATAGTAAGCCCTGGATAGGAAACTTTCTTACTGTATCCTGATTCGATACCGCAATTTGCTAATAATGGATTTGTATCGTATAGTTGGTGTTGTTATTTCCAACGTGCATTACGTGTTTTCACGTTAAATGTAATTTTAACGTCCACGCCTTCTCAAAAATACTCCTTTCTTTTCCAGTTTGCTCATATCAATATGAAATGCGATACTGCATATTGGCGGGCCAGATTGTAACATTTTAACTTCCAAAAAAATCGTGTTTTCAAGACTCACGGCGCCAAGAATTGATGCTGATTTATCCCAGACACCGCATACAAAAACAAACGCTAACGCACAGGTAGGCACCAGACTATTCCTTATTTGCATACGTGTTCAAAAATCTTGCACATGCCAAATAATGATCCAATACCAGGGTGAGAGAGCAGGTAGTGTGGGCGCGTACTGCTCAACATCCTGGGGACGTAGTTGAGTAATTTTTAAATTAATTTCAGGCCCGTAAGCGAGGGGGGGGGGGGTCGACTATCCCCCCCCCCAAATACAAAAAAAAAGAGAGAAGAAAATCGGCTTTGAAAACTTTGAAAAAAGAAATATAACTGTATGTTACGAAAGCCCATTAGCGCCACTGCAAGTATATATGTTACAGATTATGTAATTCGTTATTACGGATTATTAATTCGTTATTACGGATTATTAATTCGTTATAACGGATTATTTAATTCGTTATTACGGATTATTTAATTCGTTATTACGGATTATTAATTCGTTATTACGAATTAGGTCTGATGTTCTCACACGTGGAGAGCACGTGACCAGGGGCCTGTGTATATAGCGCCGCTAGGCGGCGCTATCTTTGCATACAACGTTTGCACTCCTGTGTATTACTTGCCGAGTAATGACTCAGAACGTATGAGTAATCCGTAATAACGAATTACTAATCCGTAATAACGAATTAAATAATCCGTAATAACGAATTAATAATCCGTAATAACGAATTAATAATCCGTTATAACGAATTATTAATCCGTAATAACGAATTAATAATCCGTAATAACGAATTAAATAATCCGTTATAACGAATTAGTAATCCGTAATAACGAATTAAATAATCCGTAATAACGAATTAATAATCCGTAATAACGAGTTAATAATCCGTAATAACGAATTAAATAATCCGTAATAACGAATTAGTAATCCGTAATAACGAATTAAATAATCCGTAATAACGAATTAATAATCCGTTATAACGAATTAGTAATCCGTAATAACGAATTAATAATCCGTAATAACGAATTAAATAATCCGCAACATAATTATGTACTTGCAGTGGCGCTAATGGGCTTTCGTAGAATAGAGTCTGGTGACGGTACATAGAAATCTCTTTGAATAAAATGTGAATAGTTCATTCATGTGCACATGTTATGCAAAGCAGGGGCAGTGGTTCAAGGATATCTATGTCGACTTGCAAAAAGTGTGCAAGAACGCGACTTGAATGCTTTTATGTGTTCACAATACAACGACGCTGTTTAGATATTTCACTGTGTGACACAGTGAGAAATTTTGGAATCATAATGGCGTCATGGCGGTCCCCATCCTTCCCCAGTCCCCCTAGTTAGTCCGCTTGGGTTGTGTGAGCGAGAGAGCGTGTAAGGGTGATCCTTTGGTAGTCTGCTGCGGGCCTGGCGGTAAATCTCCGCCGAAACGGATCTGCGTACCCGACCGTAGAGGCTAGGCCGTTCGCCGCTACTCGCCGGGGCAGTCGTCCGAGGCAGTACCGCTACAATATCATTAGAGTGGTTTTCAATGAAAGGGCATTGTTGCTGTGATGCAAAGCGTATGGCAACTTTTATATCCTTCATTTATCACCGTGCATGACGTGCAAGGCCGAAGGAACACGTTGCAAACCGGCCATGGGACTGGTTCTCAGACCAAAAGATTCTGACTATTCCAGCTGATGAATCTTAAGGCTGCATCCGAATCAACTGTCTAGAGCTAGGTCTAGGTCCGCGCCCATTGAAAATACGCGGGGACGCGCTGACAATAGACGTAGCCGTAGCTCTGGAAGCCCGTTTCGGACACGGCCTTAGGTCAGGCAGCCTCCGTGGCTAAAAATAAACATGACGACATTGATGGCCCTTTTTCAAAGCTCGGCTTCGTTTCCGATTTCGTTTTATCGCTTGTTATAAAGGCTATTAAAAATGTATGGAATAAACATGTTAGACATCTATATATATAAGAGAGAGTTTAACTCGGCCTCCGAGACGATGTTTGCTCATGAAAGGATCCGAGACCGCGGGCTCCCGCGGCGCCAAAATCGCTCCACGTCCGTGGAAAAATACGGAGGGTGTCTTCCGCCGGGTCGGACACTTCGGGTCGTCCTGATTTTCCCGTACGGACCGGCGATCCTTTTCGTCTATTTTTCGTGACAGCATTTTGCACAGGAATTTTCCGTCGTGTGCGCTTTCACGTTGACTGCCTGGCCGCCCCCTGTGCTGGCTTTTCTGCGAGTCTAGACTGTGCGAGGTCAGCGAGGTCAACGTAGGGGTTTCGTTTACGTGTTCTACTCAGCCGTACTGCCAAAGCGTTCACCAAATTGTGATATGGGGTGACCTTGGTAAAATATTTTTTCTCCATGGTGCGTGGCCACCGAGTGCCCCTATTCTTTCATATGCTTCGCTTGCCGCCCCTGCGCCGAGTGCAACGAATACTCAGAAGGACTACACATTAAGTATGCCTTGCGCGGTCTGACCAATCGAAAGTCTACACTGCGTAGTATATCCGGGCTATGCAAAACTGTCGATGGCAACGCGTACTGCAGCCTGCTCCACACCCTGGAAACGAGGTTGGGTCTACGGTGCTCGCTATTTGCATGATTTGAAGCACAAGCATGTGAGTGACGTGTATAGTGCTCTGTTGCTTCCATCGTGTGTTACATGCTTCCACCAAGGCTGAGCGTTGTGAGTTCGCTGCCCGCCACAGTGTTGCGTTATAATTTCGGGGGCCTGTCTGGGATCAACGAAGGATCGATGCATTGCTTCAAACATCGAGATCTTAAACGCAGTCACACAAAAAATCAACGAAAATGTGTCCGATCCGGCGGAAGACACCCTCCACATTTTTCCACGGACGTGGAGCGATTTTGGCGTCGCGCAAGACCGCGGTCTCAGATCGTTTCAGGAGCAAACATTTCTCGGAGGCCGAGTAAAATTTGCTCTTATATAGATGGTTGCCCCAAGTTGAATAACAGTTGACTCGACAAGTTCCTCGCAGACAGTCTCGCAAATTGTAAGACGTTCAAGTTTACGTTTGTTGAAGAGTCCAATATACTGAAACTTAATTATGACCTTCTTAATCTTAATCAGCCTTCGCCTGTGTACTACGGCAAGCCTTTCAAGTACGTTTTCCCACAAATGCCACTGCCTCACAAAATGCCAATTTAACAGAACGGGAACATTTACAGACTGTTGCCATGGTACATAATTGTTAGCGGTCAGAAATTGTCTCAGATCGCACCACAGAAATTGCTTTTCTATAACTGCATGTCTTCTCAACTAAATCCCCCAGTTACATTCATCTCCCCACATTTTCATCCCCAACTCTACGCCCTACCCGATCTATGATCGGATAAATCAGCGAGGGATCGATGCATTGCTTCAAATATTGTGATCTTTGAACTATGTTGGGTTGGAATAACGAAGAGTGCATAAATAATAATATTGGCGGTTGT